TATTTATGAATTTTAAGTGTAAAAATTTATTAAAAATAATATTTGTCTTTAAATGAATTATGTAATATGTTATTTTTGGAATCCATTTTATAACTTATAGAGTTTGGAGGGTAATAAATTTTTATTAAAAGATTCCAAATAAATTTGTTTTAGAGAAAAAAAGATAGAATTGAAAAAACATTTATATATCATACTAAAGCTACTATATTAACATATTTGGAAGTAGTTTGGTGGTAAGCAAGCGGTAGTGTGAGAGCAGAGGTCGGAAGTTTGAGTTCCAACAATAGCAATATAATTTTTCCACAAAATCCGATTAGTGACAAAACCGGCCAAAACCGGCCGGGTTTCCGGTTTAACCCGGTTCGACCGCCGGGTCATTGACAAAGTCAACGGTCTCTTTGCACAAACGATCTGATTCCAAACCCCGCCCGGTCCAATGACCGGTCCACCGGTTTGACCGGTTCGACCGCCGGGCCGGGCCGGGTTTAATAACTATGGTCCTACCTCTCATTGCTTAAAAATAAATAAATAAATAACAAGGCTTTTTAGACAAATTGATATATAACAAAATATTGCATGATAATCAGATATTAAGAATACAAAAAAGGCAAAGTAGTGAAAAAAAAGAAAAGAAGAGAAACTCCAAATTACCATTAAATCAATTGGGGAGAAGAGAAAGGGGGAAAGAAACGAAAAGAAAAGGAAGGATTCACAGAATGGCATGACTGACTTAATCATAGTGAGTTAATTATGTACAGAACATATTATAAAATTGCTCTGCATTGCCAGTTCATCTTGTGAACAAATAGGGAAATTTGACAGTAAATTTGCTCTCAAATGGTCGTTGTTGAATTGATAAGAAACCTAAACTGGTCCTTCATTTATAATTGAACCAAGAAGGAAAAGTTAGGCACTGAAGAAAGAAGAGATGCATGCCAACATTAAAGGCAAGTAGAAGATGAGAATTTTCACAGGTTGAATGTCTCCATTTTATAGATACATTCATTAACTAACTTCATTACCAATTCATTTTCCTTTTACCAAAAAAGAAAGAAATTTAAACAGTCGTCAAGAATTGTTGACTCTGCATCCCCTCTATATGTACTTTTCATTTTGTTAACTTCGCTTCACAAATAGATTTCTCCCTTGACTGATTAATCATAAAAAAAAAAAAATGACTAGTAATTTCTCCATTGTTTTGCTGGCCATAGTGCTTATTGTTTCCAGCAATTCATCCCTTCTCACAGAAGCTAAAAATGGTGGTGTTACATTTGATCTCATTCGCGGTGATTCACCCTTGTACAATCATCCCCTTTTGGATCATTTTCAAAGGTCACAGGTTCTTGCCAATCAGTTTCCATCAACAAAATTATTGGGCAGTTCTACTAACTCATCATATCTTGTCAATGTATCATATGGTACACCACCACTTGAATCCAAAAGCCGTTTTTGACATTAGTAGCGACCTTAGTTGGACCCAGTTATGCCAACCTTGTACTAATTGTCTCCAGCAGAAGTCTTCAACATTTAAGCCTATTCCTTGCAATACAAAAACCTGTCAAGATTCTCCAGGAGCCAAATGTGCAAAACCTTCAAATTCTTGGGAGTATTAGAGCAGCGTATGCTGATGATGAATCTTACACAATCGGTGAGCTTGCAAGTTGCAACAGACACTACTATCACCTTGAGTGGAACTGATGATGGTAAAAAAATCGCATCATTTTGTTTTTGGATGTGGACATGACAATGGTGATGAATGTGGCCCAAAGAGAAAGAGGGGTCTGGCTTGGTTGGATTTGGATCTGGAAAGGTCTCATTGTTTACACGAATGAGTTCTTCAATTCATGGGAAATTTTCGTATTGTTTCAGGGCAAATACTGGTAAACTCAATCTTGGAGACGAGGTTTCAGTTTCAGGTGCTGGGGTGGTTTCAACACCCCTAATTTTACATCCTCGATCATTACACCTTGACACTGGATGCAATTAGTGTTGATGAGACGAGGTTGGAGTATCCTAAAAATGGTTCTCTCCCTTCAACCAACCATATATTATGATTGCTTCAAAGCCAGGCATTTCTCTTTTCCCAACAGATTTCTATCAAGACTTTAATTTGCGTCAGCTGTGGAGACAAAAAAATAAATTCGAAAACCTTTCCTGATCCACTGACACTCTTTACTTTGTGCTGCCCTTCTTTAGAAGGTCTTAGAATCCCCAACATCACCTTACACTTCAGGGATGCAGACTTGGAGTTAAAGACATGGAACCCTTTGTGGTTACCATTAGTTATAGCTATGCCTCTTTTTTGTCTAGCTTTTCGCCCTCATAATGAAGTGAACGTACTAGGCAATGTGCAACAAATTGGTTTTTGGGTAGGACATGACGTTGAAAACAGGAAGATTGTTTCCCATAAGCCTGCGGATTGTGAGGCTGCATGACTTGTTCGACGTGGAAATCAATAATCTTAGGGTTAATTACATTTACCTCCCCTGAGGTTTGACCATATTACCAATCAATCCCTGTAATTTGTCCAAATAACGGTCTCACCCTTTGAATGATCAAACATTTAACAAAAACCCCCTTAATGCCGAAAATGCCCTTATTGAGGCCATGTTGCATTAAAAAAAGAACATATTTTTATTTCATTAATCCTGAAGCAATCCAAAAATTTAGAAAAAAATTTTTGCTTATTATTTTATAAAAACCATATCTTTGCTTCCATAAATAGTTTTGAATCAATAATTATTTTAAATCTTAAAAATGAATATTAAAAATTAGATAAATTGAAAGAAAAATAAAAAAGAAGCAATTATTTTAAATCCACAAGTATGGTTCGAATTTGTGATTTAAGGCATGTTGCGGAGAGCACAAGGCATGTTTCCCTCGATTTGAATCATACTTCAGGAATTAAAATAATTTCTTCTTCTTTTTTTTTTTTATTTTTCTTGGATAGACTCGGGAACAACATACACGCTTCTTCCAACACAACTCTATTTCAGAGAACCTCACCTACTTCAGTCTGCCTGGGATTTTTCCCCAGCGACAGTGTTGCCTTGTTTGGCAACTTGGCACAGGCCAACTTTTGGGTGGAATACGACTTGAAAAACAAAATTCTTTCATTTCAACGTGCTGATTGCATGTTGCCGTTGGATTAAAAAAAAAAAAAAAACGTGCTGATTGCGCTAGTCAATGATGCTTTCAGTAGTTAATATAGAGATGGTTGTATTAGTTTTTTTTTTTTTTTTTTGTTAAAAACATGTTTATTTAACTAGAAGTAATGAATAATTTCTAACAACGATCCTTGAATTATACCTCGATTCTCAATTTGATCTCTAAAGTCCTTTCTTTGATCTAATTTCATGATTTTTTTGGGTTATTCTTTAATGTTTTTTGCTGCTTACTTGAGTAGTATTATATTAGTTTTGGGTATTGCATTAGTAATTGTCTTTCAAGTGGGACGATTTTTATAGTATGGGGACCAAAGTGTCCCAATTTATAATTTAGGGACCAAATTTAGAATTTGAGGTACTATTAAGGGGCGCAAAATGAATTATTCCTTCCCCCTATCTACTCAGTGTTTTAGGTAATACATTTTGCAATCTTCAAAATCCCACGTGGTACAGATAAGAAAAGACTGAAAGAGTTTTAGTATGTTTGTGAAGTTACAATGTCAGCTATACTACCAATAAGTGTAAAAAAGAAAAGAATTAAAAATACAATTAAAAGGTAAGTATTATTACTTAGGATTAATCCATATTTGTTTGAGACCAAATGGGACATGTACGGAAGGGAGAAACTGAAACTTTCACGCACTGCTACATGGCAATAATTTAAGAGGGACATCAAGTGTTAATTTTTTTTAGATTAGAAAAATATGTAGTTAATTCAAGAAAATGTCGCAATTTAGGGGTGCAATAAATGTAAATGTGTGTATTCACACGCTAATTTAAGTTTACGTCATTGTCCTAATTGTAGATCAAACATACACTAGAAATAACGGATATGTAATTAACAATAGATACAATATATCTGAATCATTTTGAATAGTTATGAAAAATACAATAAATTTTCAAATTGTCTTTTGGTTCATGTAGCAGCTTGACTTGGCACACATTTAAGGACATCTCTATGTTTAATGAGGATGCGCTTTTTCGTATAATGAAGCATCCGATGTTTTAGACTAGGCTAGAGTCGGCTTCCCCTTAGACTAGGTTAGAATAGATTATACAAATGTTATCGTTGCGATAAAAAAAAAGTTACCCGATTCTTGTGCTTATATCTTATGCACTTTTATCTGCAATGTTCTTCATCCTTTCCTGATTATTTCATCTTTTACAAATTCCAGAACAGAGATTAGATAGAGACCATTCATATGATTCTAAGTTTGTCTGCTACTACCCACTTGGGCTTAACAGTTTTCTGCTAGAATATTTTGAATTGATACACGAGAAGTCCTTGCAATTCCTGTAGTGCATATAATATTTCTTGCACCTTGGGCTAAATTGTTCCCAAGACTAGTCCAGGCTACAAGAAGTTGATGAAACAAATAGAATAACCTGTATGTTCCCTGCCACTCTCTTCCTAAACACGTTGAGCATGGAGCTGCCAAGCCTGGCACAGAAAAAACTGATCTGTTCTTGATTGGCAGAGTACTTCGACATTTGTAAAGGGCGAATTAACTACACAGTGCAGATCCAAGAATGAACAAAAAATTGTGGTCTAGGCGATTGGGTTCCCAGTCGTGCAACGGACAACTGAAGGATAATTTTAGTTCCAAAACTCATGCCAAGACAGGATAGTAGCTCAATTTGTCTGTTTTTGGAAGATTGGTAAACTCATGCCAAGACAGGATACATTTTGTTAGGACAATGCACGCTCTTTGCAACAAAAGCTAAACTAGTTAAAAGTATGTAATCGCTAATATAAAATGTCAAGATGTCCTCTTAGCTTCTCTGAGTATAGAGCTTCTTCTTTAAGAAAAATCACACCTGAGTAGTTTCAATATGAGATCCCCCCACATTATCTCGACTGTGTTAGTGGTAGTAACAACACTTATTGTATCTTGTTCTACATCCGTGTTTGTCCAAGCCAACAATTATGGTGGCTTTACCGCCGATCTCATCCACCGAGATGCACCGAAATCACCCTTCTATGATCCTCTCTTAACCCCTTCTCAACGGCTAAAGAACACTTTTCGTCGTTCATTAGACCGTGCGAATCAGTTCGCATCAGCAAGTGTAATCGTTAGTGGTGGTGAATATCTGATGAAGATATCTTATGGGACGCCACCATTTGAAACACAGGCAGTTGTTAACACTGCTGATGCTTCTACATGGACCCAATGCCTACCTTGCACTCAATGTTCCCAGGAAAAGTTCCCTCGTTTTGATCCACAAAATTCTTCCACATACGAGTCTGTTTCTTGTCATTCAAGAACATGTGACCAATTTTCAAGTTCCATGTGCACGCAGGACAGTTCAGCTTGTGCTTTCTTTGTACTTTATGGAGATGATTCTAACGTTTATGGCGAACTTGCAAGAGAAACTATAACTTTGGAAGGATCTGCTGGGGATAGGGTGTCTTTCCCTGACTTTATTTTCGGATGTGGACAAGGTGGTGACTTTCCTAAGGAGGGATCTGGCATTGTTGGCCTAGGATTCCAGCACCAATCACTGATCTCGCAATTAAATTCCTCGCTAAATGGGAAATTTTCCTATTGTTTTGGTCCATCCAATGATGTCTCCAAGCCTGGAAAAATCGGATTCGGTGACAATCCTGAACTCTTGGGAAGAGAAGGGGTGGTCTCAACGCCGCTACATTTTGATTTCACATACAGCCTGAGACTAGAAGCCATTAGTGTTGCAGATACAAGATTGGAGTATCATTATGATACACCCTCTTCAACATCAGGCAACATTTTCATAGACTCTGGGACACCTTATACTTTTCTTCCACAAGAACTCTACAGTGATTTTAAAGCTGCCATACAACGTGAAATTGGGTCACAGAATATAGTGGTCGACCAAGAACATGACTTTACATTGTGTTACTCATCTCTGCTTGACAGTAATATTCCCAATGTCACGTTACATTTTACAGGTGCAGATTTGAAGTTGAACCCAGAAAACATCTTTGATAGGACCTCATCTTCTCCAGTGTGCCTAGGATTTGCCCCAAATGACATTGGCATACTTGGAAATATAGCACAGGCTAACTCTTGGGTACAATATGACTTGGGAAACAAAATTATCTCCTTTAAGCCAGCTGATTGCACCAAATGAGTCACAATCTACAGAAATTTGGGTACAATATGCTTGGGTTTGATCTGACGGAAAGTATGAATAAGCACCAGTCACGGGTCATGTCCTAAAACATTAGAGGAATCTTGAAATCTGTTTCACTTGTCCAATTTTTCAACGACAATCAAACCCTTTTGAATTAAATGTTCTATGTTAGCATGAGAGGACGATTTTCCTTCTACTTTTCTTCTCTCTCATACTCTAGTACAAGTTCCTTCCTGAACTAGTTCAGATTGTTCTCCAAGGACAGACTTGGTATGAATTGAAAACGTATCATCTAAATTAACAAGAAACCGAGCACACTAAAAAATAAACCGCACAAAAGCGGAGACAGGTAGAACCTTTTGAAGCAAATTGAACATCAAACCTGGTGTGGTGTCATACCTTTGCCTTGACTGATGCAAATATCAAATTCTACAATATAATCAAATTGGAATTGTTCTTATGCTTTTGTTAATTAATCATGACACAAGAGTTGATGAAATCATATAGCAGCTGAATTTCACAAACAGGAGGGTCATGCACTTTACTATGGTTAAAACGATGCACTTTTGACTAAGATTTGAACAACTGCTATCCAACCATATTTTTTTGTAGCATTATCTTTTTAATACTCTGTTCCACATGATATTTTAGTTTCTTCTTCCTCTTAATGGAATTTAATTTTGTTGAAACAATTTCCCCACAATGGAGTTAGTAAATATTCATTGAGTAAAAGACAAGATTATGAGTTTTATGCTACTAGCAATTAGTGTTCGAGTACCTTCGCTGACAACTATAGACTTCAACAAGATAATGGACTACTAGACACTATGACTTTGGTAAGGAAAATATGCTAGCAATTAAGATTGTGAGTTGTCCATTACAATCTTGATTACAATTTAGATGATGGCACAAAACTTCGGCATACCCAGGACAGCTTTCTAGTTCAGCTTGAGATTGGATTTAGCCAAACCTATCCATGCTGGATTGCAAGTACTTGAAAATGTAAATGAAACTAGATTGATTATGTACACCATGTCAAATTGTTACATAATTCAGAAGTAATACAAGGATGATCCATTAGTTCATGAAACGTAAATGAGCATCAAAAACACATATCACCAAGAATGGCGATTACCTCTTCTTACCTTTCTTCGGAAAGGCCTGCAAGCCTCAATGCTGAGATCAACAGCAGCGGCAAGAGCCATAAAAATGGCTGCATCCTCCACACAAGTCACATATCGCATGGCTAGTTGCACCAGGGGCTTGCAACGTTTCCCTTCTCCTTGTACCCTAGAGCTCATAACAAACCCACCATGGACAGGACTTAGTGCAGCAAAATCACCACTGCTTTGTGGACTTGGAACTGGAGTTGCTGCAGCTTTCACCTGTCTATCTGTATCTATGAAGAACTCGCCACCCTTTTCAGCATTAATCAATATCTCTGACATGAGGATCTCCCCACCCTCCTGTCCTTCAGATAAAAGGTGGAAGCGACAGCAGATGGAGTCTCTGATGCCACGTTCACGCCATGCTTCAAGCTTTCCCCATGGCTGCCAGCTCTCAGGCCTGCAAGCATCAGGCCGAACAATCAACCAAGCTCCTGGGTTGGATTTTGCTACCCAGTCACAGCCTGATGAAGGCACAAATGGAGTAGTTATGAAGGCTGCTGCAACAGCTGAGCCAGAGAGATCGTGAATTTTCACCTTCCATCCCTTCCTCTCTCTTCTTTCTACATCCTGATCAGAACTGTCAACTGAATGTGACCAGAAGTTGCTCAGCGGATCTAACTGGGTTACCCTATAAATTCATAACAATTTTCACACATCAAAATATGGGAGAACTAAAATTGCTGTTGTCTGCATTGTCAACTTGTAAAATGATGTCAGAACCACTGAAGTCAAGCAACTGAAGAGTTAAGAGTTCAAACACAGATGACAAGAAAGTCAGCCTTATTGACATGGAATCAATGGTCAATTCTAAACAGAAAAATCCACCATAAAAGATTTGACAGAAACCTGAAAATGTTAGAAAATCGATATTACCTGTCTTGATTAAACTTGCAACTGAAAATACGCTGCTTAAATGTACCCTGAAGCTGAACTATCTGGGGACTTGATCTGGTCTCATCTTCAAACTGAAACACATATCTTGGATCAGGATCTAGCTTCACTCTTAAATGAAGCTCTGCTCCAGGTTTCGCACTACCCTGCTTGCTCTTGCCAATACCTATCCATCCATTGAAAAGTATAATCGGTTTTCCTTCTCCCCATTCAGGACCAACTTCCAACTTAAAAGTTCCAATCTGTTGCCTTTTAATACCAACACCACAATGTGTACCTTTGCGCCCTCTAAAAACAACTATTTCCAGACATGCATGAGATGCGTAGAAACAGCCTGGGGCCAGCAATGCTTTGAGATCAGATTCTTCTAGGTAAAAGCTGGAGGCAACACTCTGAGCATCTGGGGTAACTTCAGGAGAGGATAGAAAGGGAATAGAGGAGGTCTGCACAGGAAAACCACGTAAGCGAATCTCACACACACATGGAGAAGAGAGAGCATTAATTCCAGACTTAGAAGAATTCAGTTCTGTCCCAGGAAGTCGCAAACCCAGTGAACCTATTGACAACCTTATGAAAGCTTGAGGATCCATTTTTGTCACAAGTCCTTCTCCATTGGACAATTCTGTAGCACTGTAGCAGAAAAAACCTGTTATGACAACAAGTATCAGCTAATGATAAGTAGATTGAAGGGCATAAACTAGCTAAATCAACATAGATTACTATGTATTTCGCTTCTTTGCAATAAACCTCATGTTTTAGAGTATTAGTTGTGAACGCTATAATGCTCTTGCGCACCATGAGTGGAAAGGATCTGCTGCAGTTTGTGCCAATTATAAATTGAATTCCAGATTAAATTCCAAAAATTAATAAGTAACTGGATCAAAGAGGAATTCTGCCATAGAATGAGAAGATGCAAGCTTCACATATGATGGGAAATTATAAATTAAATGTTATTTTTTTCAGTAGGTCTAATATAGACCTAGACACCATATTAACATATAGTAAATAATAGACATGAATGAACACGTATCCTCAACTGTGAAGGATTTTGTGTGCGCATGGATTCACAGTATGTCAAAAATACTTTTGGTACTTTTGAGTACTAGCCACAAGGCACATGGTTAGACAAAGGACTTACCGCACATTTATGATACATTAAGCAAAGTAATCAGCTAACAAGAAAAAAAGAATGAGTAGGCTAGAGCCAATTCAGTAATCCTCATTTTGTTTGAAACAAGGAACAATGATATGATTTAGAGATAGAGAGAGAAAGGGGGGAAAGTAAAGTAATCGCTAATACTTAGTGTCAGTAGGGGCCTCAAACCAAACTGTATTTATTTTGTATAGGATATGCCTTTATTCCATTAAGTAACATAGATCAATGGTCTACTGAATTCCAATTTTCATACCCTTCTCAATTGAGCATGACCATGTCTCCCAACCATAACCAACTTAACAATGTGAAATTAAGGGACAGAAAATAAATTGTGGTATCTCAACATTGATCAAGGACTATTAACAATATCAATGGCCATTGTAGCTGAGGCTTTTTGGTTGCCTGACATAAAGGAAAATAAGGTTCTAATATTTGCAGCTTCTGTCTGATCATAGCATAGCAAATAATGACCAAAAATCCAGATCAACAGAAACATCATCAGGAGCAAAAAGCAGAGTTAACCAGCTTTTCAAAACTTAGAACTTTCCAGCACCTGATCTACTGTAAAAGAATGGAAAAATCCTTTCCCGTGAAGAAATTCTCTCCCATCTCACGAAACTATTTCTTTCTACCGGAAGAATAAGGAAAATTTACTCTAAGCAAGATATATGGTATCTTAAACTCAATCATGATCTTGGATATAAGCACTCAATGCTAAATCAAACAAAAAGGGATGAAGGTAAAACCCAAAAAATGCTGATTTTCAGCTCAAAATTAGTAGCCTAGAAAGTCAAACAGTAGCCTAAATTTCTTCACCATTAAATTGCCAGATATAGGATTTGTTCATAAAGTATACATCAGGTGAAAAATTGGTCAGAATTCTGATCCAGTCAATAGAAGAACTCCTGAAAATTCCTCAACTAAAGCAATTCCTATCAGATTGATATCACCTTTATTTCCCGTTTGTGTGACTTTGTTCACAATTAATTAATCCCAGAACTGCCTAATTACTTAATTTCCCTTTACCTCTTTCACATTCCAAATAAATGAACTTAAGAAGTGCATAGCCTTTAGCTTTAATTTACCTAAAAATCAGAAACCCATACAAATGTACCAACTGACAACATCAGTTGTCAACAATGAACTTAAGCCATTAATCAACCATACTAGTCAATACACAAAATCATCCATAAAAGACAAGTCAAAGCCACTTAAAAAAGCAAAATTTGAGGAAAGAACAAAAGAAATATGAAACGAACCTTTGCTATGATGCTTTATCTATCTGCAAAGCAAAACCAAAGCCACTTTTGAAGCTAAGTCCACTGAAAATAGCCCAGAAAGCTGAGAAAATCCTCATAACTTTGTCATTCAATTTTCCAAGAAAATAACCAAAAAGATTGAAACTTTGACACTTATATCACCAAAACGGACTGTATATCCAAAAGGGTCGCTCCCAAGATCCAATTACAATATGAATCAATGATCAAAAGGGTCCTTTAATAGCAATAGCTGCCACCAAAAACTACAGCCTCCTCCAAGCATATCACGTAGACAATGCACAGATCACGAGGAAAGATATACCTATATAAACTACGTACGTATATATACTTTGGAGATTAGCTGTAGCTCTTGACAAACGTTGGTTTCTTTTTCACTGTTCTGCTGCACATATACACACAGTGACGTACACTGTAAATGTGTGTATTTTAAGTGTTTCCTGACAAAGGATTTGGAGAGAAAATGGAGAGCCATTGTTTAAAACGCCACAGGCGGAGAAAGTA